AGCAATCAATGAAAAGACAACAATTATAAAAACACAACACAACAAGACACGTGAGCATCAGATAAACGCGTGACAGGAGATAAACAAAGCTCAGAGAACTCCTGGAGGACGCAGAGCAGGCAGACGATTTCCCTCTCTGCTTCCACCTGCTGCAAAGAACTGAACCTGGCGAACACTTGCCAGACGCTCGCTCGGCCGATCAATAACCGGAGGCCCAAAGTTGTTTCTGTTTGAAACTCCCCCGCTGCACTCTGAGGTTAATGCAGCAGGGAGCTGTGTCAGGAGACAAGCGTCCACAAGTGAAAAGGTTTGACCTCTGCAAGGCCCAAAGAGGGATTATCGCTCCTTGTATCTGAGGTTACCTCCATCTGCGAGTCAAGAACCAAAGGACAACAACAGAGAAATACGAGAGTGAAACTGTCTCAGAGATTTAAAGTGAAGCAGACTTTATTTGGTCAAAAGACGATGAATATAATGAGATGAGGAAGGTTGTTTGACAAAATCAGACGAGACAAGTGATGGTTGTTTCAGAGGATGAGACCCTCACTGCGCTCGCTGCCGTGCGTGTTAACTTGATTTCAAGCTTCCCTCAGACAAACTCTGCAGGATTGTAATCCGATAGAAACTGTGTGGCGAGGGATCCGAAAAACGAAATCTGTCACAGAGCACTCAAGCACTCGGTGGTTTCACAGTGATGCAGCGCTCAGAGTCCTTCTGGGATTGCATGTCAGCGTACTGTATGTGTGCAGACGACAGTGGCATCGGGTGATTGAGTTTTGGATGAGATGTTTTGCTGCAGCTCGAAAATTCAAATACTTCTCAAGGAGGAAATCTTGAAGAAGATGGGGTCCGTAGCACAAACACATTTTTTTTTTTTCCTAACAGAAGAGCCTTTTACTTTCTTCTTCTTGCACCTTGGGCCTCCTCCCTGTCCTTTACTCCATTTACCTCTCCGCAGGGAGAACACATTTTCCTCTCGGTTTGACACAATCGATTTCAGCCCAGTTCAAGGATGAGTCATTTTCACCCTCTCGCTCTCTCTCTCTCTGTTCCTTCTCTCTCCTCCCCTCTTTCCCGTTCTTTAAATATTCGTATAATTATCCATCCATTGTACTTTTGCTTCTTTAATGAATCCGGTCACATCGAGTTATATCAAATCTCGGTGCACTGACACAGTTATTGTTGGCACGGGAGCAAAGGAGACACCAACACGAGGCAAATTAAATGAAGAGGGTTGAAGCTGTTGATGTTGCGTCGCTTGTAAGATCAACTGAAACGAAGCAGGAGGCTAAACTCATCATATCTCATTTACAAGCAGGAAGCAAGTGCTCCACATAAGTATGATTTAATTTTAGAACAGCATTTTTAACTTCGGCTCTGTATCAGAAATAATCTCACACAGCAGGAGCTCAGGAAGCAGATTGTCTACTCTGCATCCGGATGCTTGGTTACAGAAAAATATTATGAACGAGAAACAACTAAAGTAAGAGATGGGACTTATTTTGTTAGTTGGAGAACAGCATGGAACCATTACTGACATTAAGGTGCCTTCAAATAGTTCATTTTACTTTGAAACCTTCTGAACTGAGTAAAATGATCTGAAGTATTTCATCCACCATAATAAGAGACGTTTGAATTCTCTAAAGGAGAAGGAAAGGAGCTTCAATGCTTCCTAACTTATCTCCTTTAGCACAGGAAACATCGGACCATCCTTTTGGAAAGGAGAAAATGCCGCCCCCACAATTCTTTGCGGCGGCAACATTTAAAGCGACACAGCCTCGTATTTACACCTGGACACGCCCACGATCGTAAAAAAGCAGCTGTCCAGTGAACAAGCATAAAGAATTTTATGATATAACATAACATCATCATCGCAGTTGTTTTTGAATTAACAAAAGTGTCATTCACAGACATTCACGTGGTTGTTGGCCGATGTTTTCATTTTACCAGACTGTGTAGATCTGAGCAGTGTGTGGATCGAGGATTATCAATGCAAAACTATCATTCTATCCTGTAAGAAAGAAGCAGTATGTTCATCAAGGATATTGAAAAACTGTCTGTTAATTTGATTTGAGGGGGTTTCTATTCAGAGGATTAGTTTTTTTCCACACCTCCTCATCAAATAAACAAGCAAACATTCAGGTTTACAGAGGTCGTCTCATCCTCAGTGACTGATTCCATCACTTTGTGGACTTTTCCAAAGTCTATTCATCCAAAAAAAAAAAAAAACGTGTTCGGTTTCTAATTGAACTTGTGTGTGTGTGTGGTTTTCTGCATTTGCCTCGCTCGTTTTCTCTAAGATGTCGACCCTTTCAAGTACACTCATTAGTCAGGCATGGCTGCCGGACTGTTCGGTCAGCTTTGGCAGGAGCACAAAAAGAGCGGCTGCCTTGTTTGTCTCCAAGTTGTCTGCCCTCTAAGTCACAGTTCACCAACAACAACAACAACAACAACAGACATCATCCCAAAAACCATAATTACAAGGTTTCAGGTCCAGGTCTGCGTCACCGAAGCTTGTAATTCCGGCATAATGAGCGCTGGGCCTCGGTTGGTTTCTCTCCCAGACTCTTACCTTTGTATGATTGACTGGATTGGACCCAAGAGCAGATAACACACGACAGAGGGAGGAGGATGTCAGCTCAGACTTTCACATCGAAACAGATGAGCAGGAAGACAGAGGCTTTCAAGAGCAACAGACGCCATACACTCAAAATGTCAACCGAGTTAAGTTAGACTTTACTGATCCCGCTGCAGAAGGCTGCCCTCCGCTTACGACTAATCCCTAAGAGAAGGTCAAGGGCAACAGAAAGAGTGTTGTGTGTGAAAATGCGAAAGCTCAACTTGCTGTGAAGCAACGAGACCAATCTGACGACGAATCAGTGGAGAAGCGACGGAAACAACATCGAGTGAAGTGCAAATTGAGATAAAGCTGTCCTCCTTTGTTACCCTTCGATTTTGTGTTTTCAGCACGATGTGCTTTGTATTCCAGTGGTTTCACCGCATCGAGCACCATCACCACCAGGAGCGGTCAATGGTGTTGTTTGTTTCGCATTTCAAAGCCAAAGGAGCGAGAAAATAGAAAAGAAACCCAGCGAACCTCCTCCTCCGCATTCTTATAACACCACCGTACATCAGCACGTTCACGCTGAGCGAACAATAAGTCGTGAGCACATCCACTGAGGGTCAGAGTCGTGGGCGGGAGCACGACAATGCTACAATACATGAAAAGCACATGATGATAGTGAATAGAATGACCCTCAGTGGAGTTTTTTTTCAGTTTTCATTCCTCTGGCGTGTTTTTTTTTTTATAAGGAAAGGTTAAAAGGTCTGAGGTGAAAGTTGTCAGTAGCCCCGCCCATACTTCCACGCCATGATGATGTCATGTGACCCACGTAATACACACCTAGTTGCAGATGTCTCCATTCAGGGGCAGCATTCTTCAGAGGATCCGGTCTACGAAGCCGACGACGGCTGCATTCTTCGTCGGTAGACCACGTCGTCCCTTACAGTCGTCACCTAGCAACAGAGCTGAGGACGAAAAAGTTCTTCAGTGGATTAAAAACTTTGAAAAGATGTTTTTTATAACATGTGTACGGTCGTTCGGTCGAGTTCTTGTGTTTAAATTAAAGGATGTTGCCCCCAAACTGAGACACAGTCAATATAGTCTTATGGAGGAACTGCGACGATTGAAGAAACCGTCACTAAAAGGTGAAGAGTCCAAATGTCATCAAGACTAATTCCCAACAATTTATGATTAATGGCACATCGCTCTTCATATCACCAAAACAAACAAACATTATCCCACATGCAAACATGATATGAAACTGGAGCATGGTGACACCTCGTGGTTATCGGAGCCCAAGTAGTGTGTGTGTGTGTGTGTGTGTGTGTGAGAGACAGAAAAGGGTGCATTTGTTTGGGGGTATGGTGTGTGTGTGTGGTTTCTGTGTGTGTGTGTCCAATGCATCCTCAGTGAAAGTGACAGAGTGCTTACTGCTGTAGCAGAGAAGTGCAGAGCGAGCGTCCTCAGGCTGCTGAACCACCCACTGTCCAGGGATCTCATTGAGCAATCGCACCACAATGCACTGCAGCTGCGATCAATGTAGAAGTGAGTGACGGTGTGAGTGAGTGAGGAAGACAAGGGGTGATAGTCCGGGAAGAGGAGCGGTGGCCTGTTGGTCCCGTAATGGAAAGGTTGGATCCCAGAGGAAGCAGAGACAAGATTTCCATTAGAGCCGGAGCTCCTGCAGTGTCTGAGGCTGTCACTCTGCTCAGAGGAGGTTTAGCGACTAACAGCGAGTTTTAGTCAAACATGCTCGGATCAGTTTCCTGCAGAAAACACTGAAAGTACCTGTGAGGATGTGCAGCTGTCATCATATGTTTTCTTTCTTTTAAAGCGATATTGAAAAGAAACCAAAGCTTTTGTTTCTCTTTGTCTCTGGTTATTGATATTGATAAATGATCTATAGACAGCTGAAATTACCCCATTTTTGTGAGAAATAAAAAGCAGAAATTATAAATACATCTCAAGAATAAATCACATTTTAGATTTGTTTAAAGTCGTTTACATGTTTGTTGTCTTAGATTTACTGATGTTTTTTTTAAATTAAACTGATTTTTGATTTCATGTTGAATTTTCAATGATGGAAACAAAATTTACTCTTTTGTATTAGTTTACTTTGAAACACATACATAATCTAACTTTACTCTTATCTAAAGTAAAAACACATTCCATCACTGCTGTATTTAATACTACTGAGTATTTAATCAGTTTAATCAGTTTATTTAATAAAATCCCAAAACAGAAATGGACAAGTTGAAGATGAAATATCTTCAACTTGTCCATTTCTGTTTTGGGATTTTATGGAAWAAAATAATACTGTATGTGTATTACTTTCTGTGAAACTGATCAAATGAGCACGAGAAACAACTTTAATATCGTTTCTTCAGGACACAAAGAATCACAAACACCGGCAGAACTGAAAAGAGAGTCTCAAATTTCAGTTTATTATAAAACACCAGGACATATTTGCATATATTACATTTATAAGCTGCTTTAATGATTCAGTTAAAGTGATCGCTGGCCGGATAAAAGCCAGAGTAGCTGCAACGACAAACGATTCCTTCATCATTTCCTTTTCTGTTTAGCTGCTGATGAATCCGGGTGTGATCACACTCAGGATGTGTGAAGGTTCTATATCCACAACGCTAAGCACACCTACTCATACACATACTACATATTCATGATGTTGTGATTATCATACAGCAGTAGTTTTCACTGGAGGAAAAGCTTAACATCACTTTTATATCACATTAAATGTATAATTTGTTTAACTCAGTGACTATGACTGTTGTTCATGAGATTTAATTGCCTACGATAACTTCTTTCATTTGACGAATCTCTCACAAAGCTTTAAACACAAATGATTCATTAAAAATACTCAGTATGCTACAGTCGGTATCTGTGTTGGCTGCACTAACAAGACATATTGTTTATCTTCTCCTGACCAGCAGTTAACACATCCGCGGAAATATCCACACTCGGTAAAGTGCTAAATACAATACAGCGTCTTATCTGTACATTTTCACGGAAACATACGAGTACTCGTTAGCTCACACTTCCCTGATTTCATTAACAGCGAAAAGGCATGGACGTTTACAGTGTTGGTACCTCGGTGTAAGCTCAGACTTGCACACACGCAAAACACACATGCACGCAAATCTCACACCCACAAAAAGTTTGCAGTAGCGCTCAGCGGAAAAAAACTCTACTCTCGTTATGCAAGTAGCAAAAACATAAATATCAACGTTTCAAGTACATAGTGTGTGACTCATTTAACAAGCTGCTCTGTAAGCTAATGATGAGCATGCATGTATATGACGCAAGTAGTAGCAAGTGTTCACAGTACATAGAGTGAGGCACGTAATACTGCCTTATATTCCTCCATTCATTAAGAAGCATTGCTACGTCTTGGGTCCTCGGAGCGATGAGTCATCCCGAGGGGATCATCAGTTGTTGGTTTGCACCTCGTTGTGACCGCTGTCACTTCCTGTGACACCGACAGAGAGAGGTGGTATCACATGTGTGTGGTTATTAGTAGACCTGAGCTGAGGTGTTTGAGGAAATGTGAGAATTCACTTTTTTCCCATGCAAATTTAGGATCCTGCAACGAGGAAGCTGTTCATATGAAACAGAGTGTTTAGAAATAGAACCTTTTTAAAAGTCTTAGCTTTTTCTTTTGATTGAGTTTTTTCTTCTGAAGTCAGAGCAGGAAGGTGTTTCTGCCCGAAATGCTCTGTTTAATTTAAAATCAATTAAAATTAGAAAATGAGAAATAAACAAAAGGGGCCCGAACATTGAACCCCGAGGTACATCGTATTTTAATTAAGATTAAAAATTATACATTTTGTGAACTCAGTGTTTCAAAGTACAACCAAACTTTAAAATGTGACTATCATTACTGATTACAGCGACAGCAGCAAGACACCAAGTGGGATAAAAGCGTCAGCTAAATGAAATGTAATGTAATAATGTCATCTCTACGGTGATCTTTTCTTTTGTTTTTGTTTCACCTGTTCAGATGGGGTCCGTACGTCTCTAACAACACCGTGCTGGCCTGTTCCAGGTTCCACTGGCTGAGCTGCAGAAGCTTCTCACACTCAGCTCTCGACCGCAGCCCCAACCGAAACAACTGCTCCACCTGCAGTTCACACGGTGACACGAGCATTTCACGTAAAACCCAATATTACTGTAACTTTAACGTGCTTTGTTTGTTTTGCCTCTGCAAATCGCTCTACCTTCAGATGGTTGACGGCCTGAGGGATCCTCCAGTTGTGACTCTGCAGGGCGGACTTACACTCCTCCATCGTGACACCATGCACTGCTGCCTGCACCTGTCAATCACGCCATGTATTCATAACGAATGAAGAACTAACAGAGAGAGTGAATTTTATTTAACTACGGGCTCAATATCTTCCATGTGTGCTGATGACAGCAGGACTCATGACTGCAGATAAGATCAAATGTAAAATCATCTCTAAATAAAAGGGATTTGAGCGATACAAGCCTGTGGGTACGCAGCCAACATCTGCTTTTGATCTTTTACACATCAGTATTCTGCACAGACGGACTCCATGTTATCAGAATATCATATTTCAAATATATGTGTAAATCGTCATTTGCTCAAATTAAAATAAATTTCACCCTATTACAAATAATATTCATCTAAATAGAAATTGGTTCTTTTTAATGTTCTTGTCTTGTGTTTGTTGTTTGTGAGGGATTTCCTCTTACTCTACTTTACCTGTGTGATGCTCTGCTCCTGTTGCATGCTGGGAGCTGCAGTCCACCCATTGTTGTTGTTGTAAGAGGAATTAGGTTTGGCTCCGCCTGGTTTCTGCTGCATCATGGGTTTGACTGCCACCATATTGGCTGCTCCGTATCTGATCAGAAAAATTCACAGATAAGAAATAATGATGCACTATATATATTTATATTTATATAGTTGTGTTGGGAACAACTTTGCATTTTCTTTTAAACTGAAAAACTAACGTGTGGACTGATCGAGTTGAGGACGTGTTTTACAAACAAACCTTTCCAGAAAAGCTGGTCTCTCCGGCAGCGGGGCAGGAGCAGAGCTCTGGGAGCTGTCAATCAACGAGGACAGGCCGCGTCCCTCACGGAAGGAGAGAGGGTCCAGAAGAGGACTGGAGGAGTAAGAGGAGCCGGGAGCTGCGAGGCGTGAAGGATGGGATGTGGCTTGAGACAGTGGAGAGGAGGAGGAGGAGGACGGGGAACTTGAGGACAGAAGGGGACCCAGGAGTCCTGCCGTCCGCCGTGGAGAGACGAAGAGGGGAGGAGGGGGAAGAGCCACGGGCGAGGCGGAGGGCGGCGGGGCTAGTGGGAGGGGAGAGGAGGAGCGGGAGCCCGGCTGAGAAAAGGCGTGGTCCCTAGGTGGGATCTGGGGCGGCGTGTCCTCCTCGTCCCCCACAGATATGGAGCTGGAGCGGACCTGCGGCTGGGTGGTGCGGACGGAGAGGTTGTGTTTGGAGGGACGCAGCGGGGGGACAGGGCTGCGAGGAGGTAGCACCGGCCGGTCCTCGAAGCAGGAGGCAAAGGTTGAGGAGGGGGAGGGAGGAGGGAGGAGGATCTGTCTGTGGGGGCCCAACGGAGCCAGAGGGATCGGGAGAGGGGAGGAGGGGAGGGAGCGGCCCGTTGCCATGGGAACCTGCAGTTTCACCATCACCTGCATCATCAGAGACAAACGTTAGTTTAGAATTAGATGTTCGAAAACCTGAGTCCTCACGTCCTCTACCTCTCTCTGTAGTTCCTGGAACAGGTCAGCTGACTGCGACTCGCTCCTGCCCACAACAGTGGCGCCAGGCGTGGCCTCCTCACTCAGACGCCTGTTGATAGACTTCACCTCCTGGTCCTCCGATTGGTCCTCGAGCTCCGTGGCGACCTCGTCGTAAGACGGCTGAGGGAGAGGCCAGTCCAGGATGGAGGGAGTGTCCTGAGGACGAGAATGACAAGTTATCTGAGGAGCTGAGCAAAGATACGGTAGAAGAGGATTTGATTTGATTATTTATCAACTATGGGGACAACAAATGTCCGGAATCCAAACCGTCCGTCCAACGATTAAACCGAAACAAGAGAACAAGTCTGCTGCTGTTGTAAATATGTAGAAACAACTCCACCCAAACCAAGTAGCGTTCTGCCACAGTTTGGTTGAGAAGATCGAAGTGAGGCTGAAGCTATGAGGTGGAATCACTGTGAAACCACTGAACCAGTAAAGACTGAACATTCACATGATCAATCTTAAATGCATCCAAGGAGAAATTGATTCTATTTGACATTTCTGGGCCAAAGGCTGGAGAACTGCCTAAAGGGAAAACACTGTGTGATTGTGAACCTATTATTGTTGAGGACCGTCACACATTTCTGCGGTTGATTTTAAAATAATGAAAATTGATGTTGGAGGTAAAAAGCCCCAAAGTCAGACCGGGGGAATGAATGAACAGGAAAAAATATATATATATTATGGACCGCAAGAGA